ATTCCTGCTAATCTTTTTGCTTTTTCTCTGTTCTACATACTTTATTCTCTATATTTTCTATTATCTAAAGTGATCTCGATTTTTTTGAAAAATTCCTTATGATTTTTCCTAGTTGCCAGTAAACTATCCAGTTTTGGTCTTGTGTATAATATCTCTACTATGCAGCACATGACACGTGTTTTTTCTATGATGCGTTTTTGTTTACCTTAATTGCACGTGTTTGTGTTATGTCAAGTGATCTACAATTCAAGGTTTGTTTGATTCCCCAAATTTTCTAAAAAAATTTTTTCGTTATCTGTTTTTGAGTCGAAACTTCTTCTATGTTCTTGAATTTCTTTAACTTTTTTTTTTACTCTTTGCACAAATATCTGTATCTTTCTTTGCTCTTCTCTTTTAATTAGTAGCTTTTGTGTTCGTTCTTAGTAGGAATTTTGAGTTTTCTTGTTTTTTCCTTCTGCTTTTGAAGTTTTTGAATTCTATAACAACAATTTTATTCTAAAACTTTAGGCATATATAAGTTTTTTTTATTTATTAGATTATATAAAAAATCAAATGTTCTTGACTTAAATAAAATTTTTCCATTATAATATATATCTTATATTATGGTTACTTATATTACTTAAATCTGTATTATATACTTCTTGTAAATCTTTTTTTATGAAAATATCTACTAGATCATTAAACAAATCTTCTAAATAACTTTTAATTTTAGTAAAACTTAATTAGACTAACTTGCTTTTACATGCTTTTTTTATTACTTAAAATATGTTAGTTTTCAATTGCTAATATTGCATATATACTATCTGTTTGTATTTCTACTTTGCACTTATATAGTACTAGGAAAACTACAACTAAACAGACTAATAATTCTGCTTAAGTAGATAATAAACAATTTTAGATCATTATTATAGCTATTATTATAAATTCTAAAAAAATTAAAAAAATTACTAATGATCGAATTGATAAGTTACTGAGTCAAAAATCCCTAAATTAATAAGTTATTGAATTTGCGACATCAGAAACTTATAGATATGATATGATTTTTTTTTTTTTGTAGCCAATAAGATCATTCTATAAACTTTAAACTAATCCACTATTTAAAAACCAAAAACTGGTTGAACTGGTTCAAAAGACCAGTTCGGACTACAGTTCTTGCAAGACCGTAACGTCTCTAGGTTAGAGTGAGGCTTGGAATTTTATTTAAGCAAAATTTAGCGAGGAATTTTTTTTGTTAAAGTGTAGAAGATGGTTTCATAATGTTATTAGTGATTTCTTTAAAAAACTAGCATTTGTTTTGATTTCACATTACACCTAATCCTAAAATTTGATTGGCTTTATTGGATGGCTACATGTATATATATATTTTTCCTTTAAAAAATATTATATGATATAAAAAATTTTGCAAAATAATAGCTCTTTAAAGTTTTTTTTTTGGTTAATTATAAAATATATAACATAATCGATTTTTTGCAAAACTTATTTTTTTTAAATGTCCTTTTTAGGATAATAGTTTTTTAAATTCGGAGAATAACGATAAAATTATCAAGAAATTTATCAGTTATTAGTAATATCGGTATTCAACCAATTAGCGTCGTGAATAAGAAAATATCGCGTAAAAATTCGATCAAAAATTATGTAGTAAAAAAGTGTATTCTCTAATAAGCTCCAGACAATTAATATTCCTGCACAACATCCTCTATTGCACAGTATCTCACAAATGCTGTGAATAAGAATGGCATTGGTTGATTACTTCCATCTTTTTCCGATATAAGCATACTTACCAACAAAGAACACGATATATAATTCTAATAGTTTCATATTAAAATCCTGTTGCAAAATAAAATATATAATATATGAACACACGCGCGCATATATAAATAAACTCTAGATAGCTTAAACTATATGAAGTGTATGTACCATATTTTGCTTGCGTTTCCCTCTTGGTTTTTCTATTTGTCGCATGTTGCTCTTTCATTTCACTTTCCATCGAAGTTGCTTGAAAAGCCAGATACATTAGATTGTGTTTCCTTTTCTGCCCTCTAGTAGGTTTTAAACGCTAAAAGAATAAAAATTAAGTCATTTTTATATGCTTATTATTAGAGATTGGACCCGTTGAGAAAATCTACCAGTGTTATCCGGTAATTATGGTAATCGTATAACAGCTATTTTTTACCGGGTCCAACCCTTACTTATTTTTATAACTACAGAATAATGTGATTTACCCCCGATCCTTCGCCTGATCCTCTGGTTGGTTTGGACAAATTGGCAACCTGAGATTGCCACGCATCGGCCATTTGATCAGCTGCATTAATTTCTTTAATTTTAATTGGTCCTTCCTTTTTTCCCCTTCGACCTCCCAGCTTTTGAAACTAAATAAAAACTCACTATTAAAAAACTTGGATAAATTGTAAAATAAGGAAACAATCACAGCTTCAGGCAATCACCATTTCATCATCCAGTTCCCAATTTGATTGTGTTTGCTCACTTCCTATTTGTTGGTGTGATTCATCATATATTCCTTGGTATTCTACATAAGCATTTGCATTTTCTTGCCATTGGCCATCATTATAATATTCGTTGGATGCATATTCATCATTGGAAAAAGAAAAGTCTGTTGTGTTCAAAGCATCTGTACTTGCATATGAATCTCCAGTGGTTATAGAAGCTATCGATACATCTTTAGTCTCATTAATTGATTTTATATTTGTTATTTCAGGCCCTGAAAAGTGTATATGGCTAAATTTAGCAATATAAATAATTGAATGAAAAAAAAGCATTTATTGTCTACCTAGCGGAAAAAAAGATTCGGTGATCGCGTTTGCTTCTTCTGTATCATCCTCATTCTTTATAATCAATTGTTTAGCTTCTATATTGTTCGAATTTAAAGGATTATCAGATTTTGTAATGGGTTTCTTTTTCGTGATCGTATGAGGAACAAAAGTTGTTGTTTTGGCTGTGGTTTGAGTTGTTGATCTATTATCGTTTAACTTCCGTTCATTTGTTATAGTTCTTTTTGGCGCTGGTAAAAGTGAAAGTAGGCTATTAGAGGTGCTTATTCTTTGCTTTTTTGATACATTTTCTTCCTCTTCAAGATCATCTACTTGACTCGGTAAGTCAACTACAATTTTTACAGGACCGTCCTTTTTGTTTTTAGATATGGTTTTTGGTGGTGGAAGTAAGGAAGATATTGAAGTTTTTTGGAGAGTTTCTGTTTTCAATGCTGTTGGCATAAAATCTTCATCGCTGCTTGAAACGTCCGAGCTGTAATCAGCAACAAGAGACATAATATGATAATAACAGATATGAACGAATAATTTGTCTGTCAGTCAGTTCGTTCATTCGAAATCAAAAAGAGGCTTACATAATAATATTGTCGTACAACACATGCATATAAATATTGCAGAATTTATTCCCACCAATAGATACTTTCCTCAAAAACAGGCTAAAAATGTCTTATTCAGACGATCGTAAAGGAGGCCACGAAGATAGTAAAAGATGGAGCGATAATGGTAGTGGTGGTAGTAATGCAGACAAGTTTGCTGCAAGACTTTATGTAGGTCGGTTGAACAGAAATAGTAACCAAGGAGTATGGCAAAGAAATAATTACTGAGGGAAGCAAAGCAGTAATGGGTTTAGATGATCATATGGATAAAATGATCGCAGAAATACTAGAAGTAGAGAGTGATATAGTAATACTAGCAAGGGAATGGAGAAAAGTCATAGAGAGAGCAGCAATGACAGAAGGAATAGATAG